ACCCTTTGGAAGGGCGCCAGCGCGCGAAGCGTGCTTCGGAATCCTGTAAAGCAAATAGGAATGTAAAGCAGAATTCTTCCTAGCAAGCCACCTGGTGGCGCGGGGCACTCCTGATTGTAAAGCAAAAAGTTGTGAAAAAACGCAAAAAAGCAGAACAGTCCGTATTGGGGCTGGTGCTTTCGCACGATCCGTCTGGGAATTGAACCCAGGTCTGCCGCGTGACAGGCGGCTATACTTACCACTATACTAACAGATCGGATTCACATCCTTTGTTAGGCGCCTTCTGGACATGTCAATCAAAGCACTGAGACTGTTTATATACCAGGTAGAAACTAGCTCGGCCGCGTTTTGGAATGGAAAATTCTCTCTGATAGCTGCGGCCGAGCCGTTCCAACGTCAAAAACCCAGCACAAGGCTCGAGACCCTTCGTACCCGATTTTCGGGTACGAGCTCGTACGAGCGGATTGGAGCAAATTCGACAGCTCGGCTGCGTTTTTGCGACCCCGGGCGCAGCATGAACGCCACTCTGGCCGGGACAGCTGAGGAACAGGGTGGAACAAGGCGCGGGAGTGTCCGGGCTGGGGCCTTTTTTCTGCGAGCTGGGGCCTTTTTTTCTTGATAGGGGGACTCGCATCGCAAATCCAAGAGTGGAAGCGAGTGTCGGGGGGTTGAGCGTGGACCCAAGCGCGTCCACGCCTCTCGATGGTATCCCTCAAATGATCCTCGCTGTCTCTGTCCCTGCAGCGCCTCCCCCGCGCCCCCCGCGACCGTGGGCCCCCCTCTAATTATAAGAAAGGCCTCACCAAGAATACACGGCCCCCGGGCCATCCGCGGCCTGTGAAACACTGATGAGCATCCAAAGCCCGCTGGGAAACGCGGTCCATCGAGGCGCTTCGGGCCCCCAGCGCTGGGGGGCGCGGGGACGCGCGCTGTCACCCGTTTTGCGTTTTTTTGGAAACTTGCCAGGCCATGCCGCATGCGTGGGCTGCTCCGCTTTGGTCCCCCCTCTGCGACGCCTGCAGCGCACCTCAGAGCACCTTTCGGACGTCTGGATAGGTGGGCCAGCCTACCGGGGGATGGCTGGCATGCCATCGGCCAAGGCCTGGGTTAGGGTGGAGCGACTCAGCAGACACTTACCAGCGAAACCCTGAACCCTGAAACCCTAAACCCTGAACGCTGAACCCTAACGAGCATGGCGAGGCGCTTACGCAGTATTTTCCCACTGTTCAGGGGGCGCCCCAGGGCCCATCTACCCCCCCCCCCAAGTGTGCGAGCGTGGTCAGGCTGCTTGAGTGCAGCGCCGGGCGATGGGAGAGAGGGGCGTGCGAATACTCACTCTAATCTCCATACAAGTATTAATTAATTGCTTTCTGGCAACGAAAATTACTACACGATTTGCTTATACAAGTAAGAGTAGAGCATTTGTGTAGTAAATTTCGTTGCGCCAAAAGCAATTAATTAAGCTGGCTGCCTGACGCTCACCTGCTCGCCGCCTTGCCTCCCCCCCCCAGGTTCCTGCGCGCAGGTGCCGGAAGGGCTGCCGCTCGCGGTGGCCCTGACCCGCAGGATCCCAAACCCTAACAGGACTCTCTCACGTGTGGCAGATGCGGAGGGTCCCGCACTCATCTCCATACAAGTATTGATTAATTGCTTTTGGCGCAACGAAATTTACTACACAAACGCTCTACTATTACTTTTATGAGCAAATCGTGTAGTAATTTTCGTTGCAGAAAAGCAATTAATTAATACTTGTATGGAGATTAGCACGGAGGGGCCCGCACTGTCCTGGATTAGGGCTTATCCTAGACCCTAGACGCTAGACCCTAGACCCTGAGCTCTGAACCCTAAACCCTCAACCAGGTCGGTTGCGCGATCGAGCTCGCCTTCTCCGCCGAGAAGTTGATGATTTACCAGGTAAACCCTAAACCCCAAACCCCAAACCCCAAAACCCTAGACCTTGAACCTTAAATCCTAAACCCTCAACTCCAAGCCCGCCATAACCCTCGTAAACGCTAAACTCTTAACGCTAATCCGTGCCCCTTTCTCCGTCAAGCAGACGACCCGGTGGCAACAACGACTAGCTCTGCCTGAGTCGGGTTGACTGAAGTTGTTTCACTCCACAAGTTGACGGATTTGTACCACACACCGCGGCAAACAACTTCCGGTCTCCTCATTTTGAGGTAGTCATTTTGAGGACAACAGATTGGCTCAGCAAGAGGTAGAACGATCCTCACCCACCACTGCACTGCCAGGCCGGAGATTTTTTAAAGTCAATTCACCCGCAAAATTTGTCAACTTAGAAACGAGGTACCCGGATTGGGTACTTGGAAAATCGATTTTCGCCTTGAGTTGACTAATACAAAAACTCCGCCCTGGCAGTGCACTGCGTCGAAAGCGGTCCTAAACCCTAAACCCGCATGGAATTCCTGCGGTGCGTGAGGATAATGGGCGAGTTAGGGGAGGCGAAATTCTTGTGCTTGATGCTAAACCCTATCCCTTAAGTGGCCAGTAGGCTCATACGCCCTACGGTAGGGTCCTAGGACCTGCCTAGGACGAGTTAGGGTCAATATCCACCCTATGGTCACTTAAGGGATACCCTAAACCCTAAATTATAAAAAGCCTCAACCCCAAAACCTAAAAACTGAAAAAAGTAAAAAGTAAACCATAAACACCAAACACCAAACCCTAAACCCCAAACTCTAAACCCTAAACCCGAAACCCTAATCCCTAATCCCTAATCCCTAAACCCTAAACCCTCCTGAACACCCCTACACCCAAACCCCTAAACCCCGATCCGTACCCCCCAAATCCTAAGCCCGAAACCCGAAACCCGAAACCCTCCCATACCCTCCTGTGACTTGTTCAACCCGAAACCCTCCTACTGCGTTGGAACCCCTGTAGAACCCCTCTAGCGTTGCCCCAGTTAATCAGGGCGCCTCAGTAATTATATTTAGATCAGGACTCGGTACAAAGGCTCCTGTACACAGACCATCTAATCTTCGTATACGTTGTATACTCGGCGATTTACGACTCTGGGTAGGTCCCTCGAGATTATCTTCTCTCTCGTGCACTCAAGCAGCCTGACCACGCTCGCACACTTGGGGGGGGGTAGATGGGCCCTGGGGCGCCCCCTGAACAGTGGGAAAATACTGCGTCCCCAGAGGCCACGCGACGCGGAGTTCGACCGCTGCGCGCAAGCCCAGCATCTCAAAACCTTAAGCCAACCAACCCTGAGTTTATCAATGTACTTAATGAGGAGCCCTAACTGGGGCAGAGCTAGAACCTGGTGCGGCACCTATCAGTCTGCGACACCCTAAACTCTCAACTCTAAACCCTAAACCCTAAACCCTAAACCCTAAACCCTAAACCCTAAACCCTAAACCCTAAACCCTAAACCCTAAACCCTGAACCCTAAACCCTGAACCCTAAACCCTAAACCCTCAAACCTAAACCCTAAACCCCAAAACCCAAAACCGTTTGCGACACGGCTCTTCCCTAAACCCGAAACCCGAAACCTTAAACCCTAAACCCCAAACCCTAAACCCCAAACCCACACCCCAAAACCCAGAACCCAAAACCCACAAACCTATATCCTAAACCCAAACCCCTAAACCTCACTCCCTGAACCCTAAGCCCTAAAACTCAAACCCTACAAGTCTTTTGCGACATGGCTCTGCAGATTCTGAGGCGGGCCTCTGGGCAGTCGCCTGGCTACACCCTACACCCTACACCCTACACCCTGCACCCTGCACCCTGCAACCTACACCCTACACCCTAAACCCTGCACCCTACACCCTTTAGGTCCTTTAGGTTCTTCGGGCTCCCAACATAGGCGGACACCGGAACTTGTTCTGTAGAAAGGCCATGCTTCCTTTCGGATCACATCAAGCCCCCCGTACAGAGGATCGCGGCAGAACCGGCTACACACCTTTGTAAAGCGATCAGCTCGGAGCTCTGGGACACAGTCCCGTGTAGGGTAGCCGGAGTGACTTTACACGTGTAGGATGGCCAGAGTGACTTTACACACGGGACTGTGTCCCCTGAGGAACGCCGCGCGCGAAGTGAAGGAGGAGAACTCTACTGCCAGGCTGGAGATTTTTCTCAAGTCAATTCACCCACAAAATCTGTCAACTGAGAAACGAGGCACCCAGATTGGGTACTTCGAAAATCGATTTTCGCCTTGAGTTGAAAAATACAAAAACTCCGCCCTGGCAGTGAACTCTTGGCTGCGAGGGTGTACATGGCAGCAGTGCACAGTACAGGGGTTACTCGAGAGATTGATAATTTATTGCCAAACAATCAGCGTCAGTGCCGCACATGCTAGTCATTGTGCCAGTTACTGCACCCTGTGTCGGCCGCTCATACGAGCATTTTCCGGATGGATTATAACTCCACCTCCTACAGGGGGGGTTACTCGAAATTCAGGACACGCACCGCTCCTAGGGTGGTCCTTTACTCCTGCAGGATATGTTCCGGTGTCCGCCTATGTTGGGAGTTAAAAGAACCTCAAGGACCTAAAGGACTCCTAGGCAGAGGCCTACGGTAGGATCCTGGGGCGGTGAGTGTCCTTAATTTCGAGTATCCCCTCGACAGTCCGTTGGCATGGCACACGCTATTACTGGCAAGAACCTGAAAACATCCCAACCGTGTGTCTTCTCTGGGGAGACTTGGGTGTGGGGGCCTTGTCAGCTTAGGCTGAGTTTTGGGGGGTTTGATCCTAGTCTTACAAAACCTTCTCGGAAGGGAATAGAGCGTTTGCGGTAATTGTTGTCCATTTTGGACGTGCTGTTTCCCGGTTTTCCGGTTTTCATTTAGGTCCTTCAGGTTTTAAATGCTCCCAACATATGCCAACGGCACGCCGTTCCGTAGAAGGGATCTGCAGGGAAAGCATTTTTGCTTTCGGATCGCGTGTAGCTCTCCAGTGCAGAGGCTCGTGAAGAGGGGATACAGAGTGGTTCTCTGGGGGTGTTTGAGTTGATCCAGAAAATCGCGCTCATCACACACACCGAAGCCAAGTCAGCCTTTTGAGGCTCATGATATCCCATGGTTGAGGTATGGGAGCTCCAACCACGGATACCCCGCAAGGTGAGAGGGATTGTGTGGGGGGGTGAGGTGGAATCAGTCAAGACACCAAAAGAGGTGAAAGGAGAGAAAATGTGTTGTGTAGGAGTCTCCCCCGATGTACGGACGTCAGCAAAGTCAGGGGCAATACACGCGTAAATTATCCCAATGTGTCTCGACGTGTCAGTGGCAGTC